AAATTGATCGTTTAGAAAAAAGATGAGAAAAGGAGCTGTCAGGAAAGAAGACATCTGGAGCTGACTTGTGTACAGTTGCTTCTTCTTAGCCTAGTGACACTGAATCATTTGCTTTGCTGTTTCAAACTGAATAAAGCTCTGGAATTATCTGATTTACATTTAAATAAAAACACACTCTCACAGTCTCTTTATATATATATTTATTTTTAACAAGACATTGTTGCTTGTCTGTTTAGTTCAATGTGTGATCATTTTAGTGAGTGCTAGTGGGTTACTTAACACTGTTCACAGGTATGTGGCATGTAATTCGTACAGAAGGAATCAGTTACGGAAAAGGAAATATCTAAGGAAGACCCTTGAGACGATATTGTACAAACTGTTATTCAGGTACATTTTTAAGAGCAACCACATGCTCTGCTTTCTGGCAGTCACATAGATAACAAGATTAACTACTTGGGTTTGATCAAAAAAGGAAAAAGTGTTAGGCTCTGGTTCAGTATATTAATGTTGAGCTTGTTCTATGCATGTCATTCAGGGGAAAAATAATCTTACAAAAACCCCAAACTGGTATTTTTATTGTGGGCAGAGTGAAAACATGAAAGAAAGGGAGCTTTTTAAAAAAATCTAACAACTCAGTATCGTTGCAGCACTACCAGCACCATGGTGCAGACATTAAGCAAAGTTGTGCATGGAAAGGACGCTCACTAATGTTACTGCTTTCTCATGGGACAACTCTGCAATGAGCAGGGGGATGCTCTTAAACAATGAATCACAAATCAGTTACAAAGTACTGAGCTTTTTGTGCTGCATGGCCAAGCACATCAGTCCCCACAGCAGATGTCTGGATGGCTGGGTCTCATCTGCAGGTCTGTGAACTTTCTGTTTATCAGCTTCCATATTTGCAAATAGGGTTGATGAAAATTTAGCTTTGTGTTCTGAGATCTGTGGGTGAAAAGTGCTATCTAAAAATAGAAAAGATTAATTCTGGGTTTCCTTTTATTTATGCCAATAAGGGAAAAGTTCGTGTAAGTTAACAAAATCATACCACTGTAGCAGTCTTGTGAGTTATAGATGGTAAAACTTGATTATCTGTTCCAAGAAAGGCCAGACTCACTACTCAGAAGAAAATGTAACTCTCTGGTAGCTAATGAAGTGTATGACAGGCTACATGGGTTTTATATCATCTGCTATAAAAAGTCCCAGCATGTCCTGAAGTGTTGGTGCCTGGAAGCCTGGGGCCTGTAATGATCTGACATGCAAAATCAAGTATCCTTGGCTGAATGAGAAAATCAGGAACTTGATTTTTCCTGAAGAGCCTTGGCAATGACCATTTGGCTTTCAGGCTCAGTCATGTCCCCAGCGCCGCCTAGTCATGTCCACAGTTTCTAACACAAACAGGGTGATTGCTGATAGATCAGCGAAACCTTATGGCTTGATTAGTGTTTCCTCAAAGGACCCTTTTTCCCAGACTGACCATGGAATCTCTCTCTAGAGCCCCAGCAGTGGTAAAAGAGACCTCGGCCTCTTTAATCTCTGTGCCATTGCCGGAGCAGCCTCCAGGGCATGAGTGAAAATGAAAACTGAGACAAGGCTCTTTTGCAGGCTGGGCTTGGAGACACTCAGCATAACTGCTGTAGCCAGCAGCAGGCACAGATTCCCAAAGTCAGCACACCCAGTTTATTGCAGGCTGCTGCAGATGCTTAATCCTGCCACCAGAATAGTGGTGCATGGTTTCCTGGAGGAAGAGTGATAAAACTCTCCACTAAGATGCCTTCTTCTCTGCATCTTTGATGCACTGATTTGCATGTGTTCAAATAGATAAATATCTGCACCAGGCAAAGCCCAATCCTCTACATTTCTTTCTCTTTTTTCACTAGCACAAATGACAGACAGCTTAGGAGAATGATGGGCATTGGGAAAGGAGAGTTGCAGCATGCATATCTTCTTTTGTGCATGCATATCTTCTTTTGTGCATGCATATCTTCTTTTGTGCATGCATATCGAGCGGGCACCTAGGTATGCTTTCTCACCAAAGTGCTGTTGACATGACAGCCTCACTGACTTTCTACAAGACCAACAGATAATCTCATTCCAAATTCAGATCCTACCACTGTCCTTCTCTTGCCAGGGATACAGAAGCACTCGGTAGGCTTCATGCCTGCAGGAGGGAAACCGAGGTTCAAGTGCAGATGCCTTGGAAATTCCCTGCTCATTTCCGGTCGTAAACCTGCGTGTCAAGTGATAAAGCTCAATAGGGCACAAAGGCACCTGGCACAGGCTTGTAGAGATATATTTCAAAAGAGTTGTTGTGGCCCATGCCAGGCACAGCTCTCATCTGCTGCATCCCCGAGCCCGCACCTCGGCTGGGATTTCCTCCCACAGCCCCATGAGCTCAGCCAGCCCCTGGAAAAGTCACAGGCTTGTAAACTTGTGTTTTCTTTGTCATTCAAGTGAGTTACTATTTCTGGTTACATGCAGTTACCATGGCTACAGCAGCTCATAAATAGGGTCAGAAACCTCGGCAATGTTTTTAAGTGATTCCTTGGAATAGGAAATAATCTGGACAGAGGTAATGAAGCTCATGGGTTTTCCTTTGGAGCCACAGGGACTGGACTGTGCTGCTACTTGGACCCCGTGGCTTCTGCTGCAGCTCTGGTCTGGATCGGGTGGCAGCCAATGTGGCCCAAAAGTCTGGAGCTGGCTTTCCTGGGGCCAGGGGAGGAAAAAGCTGGGTAGGGGCAGGGAAGGACAGGGATCAGGTACTCTGTCCCTGGGCAGGAGCACGCACATCCCCACAAAGCAAATGCCGCCAGCTTTGTGAGGGGAAGGGAGAAAGGGAAAGAAAGAAGGGAATGGCCTGCTAATCATGTGGGATAAGAAAGAACATGGCACGTGTGGCCCTTTAGGGAGTTTTTGACATGCTTCGTCAGTGGCCAAAAAATAGTTTCGTGTGACCCCGTGGAAATTTTATTCCCACATGTCCACTTCTGTGAAAGAGAAATGAGCTAGATTTCATCAGGAAAACAAGAAAACAAAGGAGGTGTTCTGAAATAAAACAGCATGTGTGTTAAAAATACACAGGCTCAGAAAAGAGGAGTAGGGGGCTTGTAGAGCTGATTTCCCCAGCAACTCTACCTATACAGGAGAAGGCAGAAGAGGAGGGACAGCTCTCGGAAAACCTGCCTGCAGCAGATGGAGGCATGGGAATGAGCAGCGGGGATGGGAGCTGAGTCTGTTGCCAGCAGCCTGCACCTCTTTATATCCACACAAGCAGGTCCCTGCCCACAGTAATCACTCCTGCTGTCAGGAGCTGCTGAGTGTAATCAATCTCCATGCATTTGTATACAAGCTCTAGTCATCACAGGGAAGAGACAACGCCAACACAGTGCTGCCCCCGTCCTCTTCCCTGTGCCCAGAAATTATCGCACAAGCCTCCAAAAGCTCTGTGATCGTCCTCAAACACGTGGGAACGTCAAGTGCGTTTGCTGCCTCTCTGTAAGATTGAAAGCCCTTCGGCTGTAACAAGGATTTACTTCCCAGCTTTTCTGCGTCCACTCAAGAGCTAGGACCTTATTGATTCTTTTAAATGTAAGTTAAAAGTCTTTCTGAAGGATTTATCTCATCTAACTTCAGCAGTCTGAAAAGCCAGAGGCCTCAGCTGGGGGCTTTTGCTCTGCATCAGAGCAGTGCTGGACTGGTCCCTGCTGCCAGAGTCTGTCATGTCAGAGAGAGCCTGTCCTTTCTTGGTCACATGCAGTCACACCCCTGGCTGTCACGGCTGCTCCAAAATCCCCTTCTCCATCCTTAACCAAAGACAAAGCCCATCACTACACAAACCCATAGCTTGGTTTCCTTCTGCTTCTGCACTGCTCTGCTGCTCCTAGCACAACTCTGTTTTCTGGGCCCATTTTTGGCCCTGCCATGATCTCATGTTGTGAGCTGTATGCTCAACAAGATTAAAGGAGTGATGCTTCACCAGAGCCAAAGGATCTCAGAGGATTGTTAACCCTCTGGTTATACCTCCAGCCAGACAGCTACAGTCCATGACTGAGGTACTGCCCCAGCTGAGGATGAGGATGATCTTCCAGCACCTTCTAGCAGGGCCCTGGACCTTCTTTCTTCATCTTGACATTCTGCCTACTTTTTCCACACCTCTGACACCCATCTCCTGGGCTGGGCGGTCATAACAGGCTAGTAAAACGCACTGGAATACAAAGCAGCTGGTAAAGCAGTGTGCATTACCATGCATGGAGATTGATGAGTTGGAGTTTAAGATGAGGAACCAGCTCTTCCTTTTCTCAGGCAGCCCTTCACAGTAGCAATGCAACCAGCACCCAGATGTGACCTACCTGTTACCCTAAGCCCAGCCCCTCAGGTCTCAGAGGTGGCAGGCCACATTGCTGGCGAGCCACCAGCATGCAACACAAAGGTTCCCACTTCTTCCCCTGCCATCCCATCCGCTGGACGCAGTTAAATATTCACCAGGTTCCTGCACAGCGTCTCAGCAGTGTTCCCTATGACTCTCTTGAGCAGACTCAGCCCTCGGGGCAGCAGGCTGACTGCATGCACCACTCTGTACGGTGAATCTTGACCCCCACGGCACTGCTGAGAAGTTTGCTGGATGCCTCTCCATGCATTGTCCAGCACAGGGGAGGGATCTGAGGTGATTAGGACCAACTCCTCCTTCCCTGCATGTGCACATTCACAAACAGAAGCATCTCTCAAGGGGCAGGTATTGCCTTATTCCTCTTCACTTCTCCAGACCTCTCCCCTCAGGAGCTCCAGGGAAGTGCAGAAGGGAGCACTTTGCCCCTCAGGACGGTTCCAAAGCTCTGCTGCTCACCCAGACCTCGCTGGAGCTGTGCCTGCAGAGTGCTGGGATCACAGAGCGCTCCCCACAAGTGTCCCCACCCCCACCATGTGGGCGCCCGCTGTGATTGATGCCCGGATGTCACCTGGTGGCAGGGTATATCTGGAGGAGACGGGACACCTTGAGACACTTCCTACGCAGGCTGGAGGACTGGAGTTGAATGATTTGCAAGAGGAGCCTTTGGCACTGTAAGTGTGTTTCCCAGGACCTCAAAGTGATAATGAGGGTGGCAGGGGGATGGAGGAGGAACTGGCTGCAAAAGCCAGAGGAGACAAAAGTCCTGATAAAACCCCATGGGGGAGAAATTTGTTTGTTTGTGCTTGGAAAGCATGAACAGACCCAGTAGCTAAGAGAAGGAGTTATGGTTGTTGGGTGGTTGTTTTCTGTTTCCTCTAACATTAGGACAAGTGTTGCAGCAGTGGTTTCTCCCAAAGCTCCTTGGCTGTGGGAGCAGCTATGCCTTCCATGGGGCTGCTCGGTTTCTCACATTGGGTATCCCTTAGTTGGGGGTCCCTGGCATCCCCTTGGCTTGTGTCTTTGGCTAGTTGAGCCTGTGTGTGAGCAGCACTGGAGCGGCTGGTGGGCCCTGTGTGTGAGCAGGCCGGGAGCGGCTGGGAGGCAGCTGGTGTCTCCCGCCCCAGTGCCCGGCAGTACATGCAAAGTACGTTGGTGGGGAGTTTATACTGTGTGATGCTGTACTTCCAGTGTTACTGAATCCCTTCTTTAAACTGGGATAATCTATTTAATGATCCCCATCCAGGAAACAGTTGTGGGAATATAGTTCTACTTTAAATGAGTTTCTGTCTTTTAGAGTGCATCCTCTTTCATTTGTTTTTGGTCTTAAAACTGGTGCTAGAATGAAGGGCCTGAGATCCTGTGTAAAACACAGGAACAAAGAGGGATGAACTAGTCTGGACTTCTTCCATCACTATGATTAGCCAGCTCTAACACCTGAGACTGGAGCTGTGAGACTCCTCACAGACATTTTATACCGGATACAATACTCCTGATGAAAGCCTGGCTGCAAGGATGATGCTAGTGGCTCTCATGAGGTCAGGAGCTACAAACGCAAGAACCCCATCAAAAGGGATGTGAAAACAAGGGTATTTCCTCCTGGTTGCTGTTTACTCCCAGTGTATCCCTGCATGAAGAGCCATGGGGGTTCTGTGTGGGACACCCCTGAGGCGCCATGAAGACACATGGAGGAGTCTGTATTTTTGAAGGTTTCAGACAGGGGAAGATGAGCTCCAACACTGAATCTGTCTGAAGAAGATCAAGTGGGGAATCTGCATTATCTGTCATGGAAATTTTCCACAGAGAATCAGAGATTAAGGAGAGGGCAGATTAAAGAGTCAGCATTTGCCAGTAGTATTCAAGCCCCTTTGAGTTCACAGAAAACTAAAAGAAGGATGATTAACCTGGCCAGCAACCCAGAGGTGGGATATCTGACGCAACTGAGATAAGCCCATTACCATGTATTAGGTATAATTAGCATTTGGACGCAAGCAAAGCTTTTAACCAGAGGATTAAACCCTGGAATCAGCAGAAATGCTGTCAGGGGCAATTTGGTAATACCTTGTCAGGGGAGGGGGCAGAGGAAGTGCGTGGAAGAACATCTTGTTCCTCAAGAGCCTTTGAATTCACAGCCATCAGCTCTCGCCCGGGAGCTGCATCGCAGTGCCTGCAGCAGCAGAAGGGCTCTGGCAGCCCAGGAAGCACTGGGAGGAGGGAGCACAGCACTTGCAGAGATCTAAAGAAGGAGACTCAGTCTTGTCAGACGTTTGTCAAGCCATCTGCTTGGTGTGGTACCAAGGACTATCCAAGTACCCAGGTATGGGGAGGTGAAAGGCTGGGAAATTCCACTGGGAAGCTGCTGTGGGTGTTTCTTTCACATCTGTGATCCTGAAATGTCTGCCCACCCGTGTCTGGCTGTGTGCAGGGGCAGCTGGCTCCTGAGGTGTGGGAACTGGGGTAGGTCTTGTGCTATGGAACAAGGCCCTCTCCAGCATGAATGGAGACATCTTTACCTGAGTATGACGGCCTGTGTGTAAGTCCCACCAGATCAACGGTGGGAAGGCAGCTTGATTCCTGCT